TGTAGTACTGCAAGGTAATAATACACTTAGCTATGTGACGTTATCGAATTGCAATAGGTCTCATTTAGGTAAATATCCGAGAAATCGACGAAATGTGGCCTCTATATTAAACTCAGTACCGTAGACTATGCTGTAGGACATAGATCTCCTATTATGGTGAATTACTTACCGAGAGACAGATGCATATACAGAGGATACGATATCAATCAAAGATAACGTTGCGTAATTAGATTCAAACAAACATTATCGACCCACAATATTAACAAAAACGTACAAAGGTAGTAGGACGACAAGCTTTGCAACTCTTATCTGGACAATTAGGTGTAAACATCTATAAAAGGGATGAAGTTACAGGCTGAAGTACGACGATGATCGATGGCGGCAATAAGGTAGATGGATCAGAACCAGACCGTCGGTATCTCTGTGAAGCAAAAACATGGCACCCCGTTTTTGGGGTAGGTTTGGATAATTTCGGTCGGTTTGGCGACGTACCAGATACTACTTGTTGGTGTAGTTGACATAAAAAGCAAGCGAGCTTTACAGATACGCGCGGAACGAGTATTGCTATGAATAATACCCTCCGTCAATCAAAGCGTACATGGGGAGCCGCGACTGAGCTTGACCTGATAACTTCCCGGCTTTTGTCCAACCATATCTTTCTTATGCAACGATAAACCATATGGTATTATATATGGCTTGCATCGATACTGATATATAATAATTATACGGATAATGGATGATCTGTGAGTTTTTCGAAAAAAGTTGCATGTAACAGGACAAAACCGGAAACCAATATATATCGCCTATGACTATGAACCCCCCACATTTGCTCCCTCAAGTCTAACACACCAGCCGAGAATACTCGAAAAAAAAAGGCCCTTCTTTTATTGGTTCTGCTACGTGGAATGAATGCATGTCATCTTTAGAATCATTGGGGTGCAAGCATGCGTGTATAGTCTTGAATAGTAAATATTTTCCATACAGGCACAACTCGCACCGTACATTCAGTATCCTATGTTTTTTAGCTAGGCTAAAGCTGACAGGAGCCTTACTGCTAACCCTCGAGCTGCCACAATGAGTACGTACTGTACGGTAACTGTAATACCGTGCGTTCATCGATTGCGCCTCGTTAATAAAAGATTGGTACATTTCTGAATTCGACCCATTTGGTTTATTTTTCCGTCTCTAGCCGCCTTTCTCTTCTAGGTACCCTATATATTGGCTGTTCGGGCATAAATCAACCGGGATGTGGCGTATTTCGCTAAAATGGTATGTATGATCGTGCTGTATATATTGTGCCGGAACCGGAAATACATTTATTATATGTCCAAAGCCCAGCGGAACCGGAAATACACTTATCATAATTACATAATTTTTACGTCCGTTTCACGCCTCGGCGCTAGCCGGCAACACGCCTTAATCCCTCGGCCATCGTCCGCCCCTACCTCATGCTTCGGCCGTGTCACACCGATGACTTAGCTTTAAGCAACTTTTGTATAAGGTTGCTTAGCCTTACTGAGAACTTAACATTACATAACATAAATTGGGTGAGTGGTTTAATCCATCGTTGCGGATAAATCGATTCTCACCTTGTCCTGTCGTACTCGTTAATGGCTAGCTCCACAAACGTTCCGAGAGGTCTAATTTTGTTGTCGCTTGTGACTCGCGAATAAAAGTTAAATCATCAAGGTATGGCCGGATTCTCCTCTCCTTATAATACCGTGCTCTCAAATCGTAATAGCCTAAGAATCGCTCTGACGAGCTTTTAACGTGCCTGAAACCATTAACGTTTCCTGCGGAAGCAACGGGCCCAGCCCCAATTCCATTTGTTCTGGTAGCCATTGTCGATCAGCAGGTGTGTCATCTCCTCGAACCATTTCATTGGACGGTCAAAAACCGGGACACTCGCCCCATACCTTGCTGTCGAACGTTCACGAAGTGGTATAATTGGGTCGTTCGTATTCAGTTGGACACCAGCGCTGCCAGCAGCTTCGTAGTAATTACGAGATTCGACTACTGAGTACTGGCAATTGATCGAGTGGCTGGGGGTACTAATACCCACAGCCCGTTGGAACCTGAGAGACACATATCAATGTAAATTAATAGGTCCATTTCAACAGATGCAGCAATCTTGTATTATGAGTCACTCCCTATTTTGTAGGCGCACCAACCTTGTCGCCATGTGCGCCGACCAGTCACGTAGAGGCTTGTCTCTCATTTAATCTGAATGCCGCCTGCGAATCGTGAGTACCCTATACGTGTATTTCACGCTGTCAAGCCCTATTTACAACCAGGGAATTTCTGCTCTATGACAGATGTCGACCTGAAATTAAACCCACTACGACGGCTAGGAAAAAGTTAGCCGCTAACGTAAGAGAACTAGATTAATTTAATGATTTTCGTTACCAAAGGACAGTCTGCAGATGGTTATAGTTTTTTATGCGGTGTTAGTGATAAATCAAGGAGCAGTTTTGAAAGTAAAAAGCATACTTGGTGACCAATATCGCTAGTCATTTTTCTTCAAAAAACGCCTGCTATGTAAAAGTGTTAATAACTACTTTTTAAAATGTACAAATTTAATTTTCAATAGCAATTTGTGAGAATTGGTCATTACCGCTGAGTGGAATTACCTTTAACATACACTAGCTAAGCGAATCCGCCGAGGTTATAAATGAGCACCGTCCTGTTTCTTTCTTCTTCTTTGAATTACGATGAGGTTACGGGGCCGATATCCTGGACAAAGTTTGTGATTAACTGAAGTGATCACTATCAGCTCGTCATATAGTATGTTTTTGTGCTGATAGTAGTTTGTGCTAGAAACGGTCTTCGCTGTGATACGAGCAGGACCATTAGGGGGAGTATTGGTCATGAAAGGTCCTAGCTCCCTCCAGAAAAGTTTACTGGACAACGAATAGCTCCTAAATGCTCACAGTCAATTCATTAAGAAAATTCAATTCGTATATATATATATATATAGGCAATACCTTTTCCATTTAGCCTCCCATGGGACAAAAAAAGTAATCCTAAACAAAAATGCCACTAGATACGGTTTTTGCCCTTGTTCATGTCGAAATCTAAATTTTAGCTATCGGAAGATGTGTTACATTTTTACAGAGCTATCTATTAGTATAAACAATTGATATCGACGAAGCGGTACTTTGCATTGAAATTTAAGATTTAAAATCTTTCTAGAGAAAGATTTTACAGATATGTCCAAAAAATGTGTTCAGCTAAAATACTGATCATATAAGATGCTAATACTTATCAGAAGTTCACTTAAACAAGTGCTCAAAAAGTATCTCTAAATGCATTTTCATTTTACGGTAATGTGGGTGGGGCGAACCCCTTAGTAGAATTTTGACCATCTTCACACCAAAATATTAATTTTACTTATAGGGGATATGTATTGCATCTTCACTCAGCTCGTCGAAATCTATCGACTAAATCCATGTCAAAAGAAAAAAACTTCTTACATAGTTTTTGTGTTCCGACGTGAAAACTGAGATTTAGGCATCAGGACAACAACCACTGTATTTGAATCCAGCTTGATAAAGGCTTTCAGTTGGTATCAAGAATAACGTAGATCTTATGTAATTACTGGACTACCACTACCATGTCAGCAGCACCATTTTTCAACATAAACCTCACAATAGCCTACATCAGCCTCAAAAATGATCTTATAAAAAAATAATTCGTGTTTAAAAGGAGCATAATTACAAAAATCATCAATTTCTTCAAATTAACATTACGCCTTCAGGGGTGAAAAAAACTGTATCTGGAAGCAGGTGTTTCCCGATCCGCTACACATTATTCACAGTTTTGTTCCGAATAGTAGGTACTCTATCGGTACCTAAAAAATTAGGAGTCGCGTTGTGTCAGCCAAATGGACAGGGCTTTAGTCGTAGCTAGAATACAGATACAGCGGGATCAATTTGAGACGCCCTGTGAACGCGCCGTGGATCTAATCCTTAGTGTAAGATTGAATCCCACGTTTTTTTTTTTTTTGTTACGTCAAACATGTACGCGTTTATCATTATTCTTTTAAAATACGCCATATCGACGACTTTCAGTCTGTCTGCTATCGGGATCGTCTCAATCGACCCTTTTCCAACGTCACATTTAAATTCAACCCTTCCGTTCAATTCAGCCCCCAGACTCTTTTCGTATTCTTTCGAGGACGCAAGGTCGCCTGATTGCAATGGGAGCCATATTTGACATAAGACTTACTTTAATCTACACATTTACATTCTTTGCACAGAAGGGCCTCAGCACTCAAGCGCATATAGACTGAACGACGACTAGTTATAGATGTACTTTGCTCAGCAAGGTTGAATGTGCATGAAAAGCACGTTCTCCGATCTTTAGCTACATCTAGTTCATTTGGAGGCTGGTTTCCAATGTCGTAATTTTTCTGGAGCTCTTCGAGCCTAGGCACATTACCCTACCCTTACACGCCATTAGCCTCAAACTCATTCATTTTGAAAAATGGAACAATGAGTTTGGACAATTTCTCGGCCTTGCTTTGGAGTCTCCAACGTTCCTCGGAGTACACTAGAGCCTGCTTCGTTTGTTAGGAGCACACACATTCTAGTAATTTCAACAGTAGTTCCATAGGGTCAGGTATAATTTACGTTATCTCGCTGATAAACGGCAAACTGAAGACGTCCTGGGAGCCGTTGGCTAATGGTGCTTCTGGACTAGAAGACGCTTTACGCAGTTGCGCGTCAAAAACGATACGATTTTTCTTTCTATAAGGAAATTGTTTTTTTAGGATTAGTCTTTACTTCAGCACTATTTATTAAGTTGTTAGTCAAGCACCCTATTTGCGTCTTTTTTAGACCTTAGGTACATGGACAATTTGTACATGTTCAGTACGTAAAATATGCCGAAACTGGACAAAATTGATAGGCACCTTCTTGAAAAATATTGTTCGTAAACTTCTGAAATTTGGCTTTTCTTTTTTTCTGCCCTGTTACATGTAACTGTTAACATGCCTGAAAGTCTGAGACAATAATATCATGAATTTATTATATATTTGTCAGCACTGGAACGCCCTATGGTGAAAGGAACACGGTGTTCATAGAGGAAGATGGAATCCCTTTTCGGGGCACCTTTATCCTTGCCTTCGTTCGTTTTCGAGTAGCAGTGCCTCAAGACTCTTGTTTCTACTATAGGACGTTTTGCTGCATATCCGTACAAACTTGCTTGATATTTCAAAATAGCACACTTTGATCCAACGAACATTGAAAACTTTCTTGATTGGACCTTCCATTGTTCCTCTACATTTTTCATAGCTTTGAATGCCTATCTAGATAAGAAGCGGCGTGGTCGGGTTGAGAATAAGATTAGCGCTTATCATATTTGAGTTATCTCTCTACCTCGTATAATAAGCAAAAGAACGTTTGTGTGATACGACGGTATGAGGCCCGCTCCAATCGCTACTGCATGACGTTTAATACGAGTTCCGTTTGATGACCCTTGTGTAAGCTGTAATTGTCGCAACCCCTTCAGTGAGCAGACGAAATTCTAAAATGTGCCTTGTCTCGGCGTGCTAATATCGCTTAAGCTGTTCGATAAGGCGGCAGTTGGTAATAAGTATGACTAATGGCATTCAAGCTCTAGCAGTGTAGTTTAGGTTTAGACAGTCCGTTAGTTCTCGTACTTTACTTGCTCTACTTACGAAGCCGTTTTTATAAATCTACTTGGTCTCATTCATTTAACGATGTTTTGTTTGACGAAAAATGACGATGTTATCTCCTTCGGTGTACGAAGGAAGCTGCTCGACGGTTCCTTCTTTAACTAACGACAGCGCTAGCGGCGCAAGAACGCTCCAATATTCCTTTAAATTGACGTTATATCATCGCACTTTCATAGCTCTGCCATCGTTTCGAAACAGAAAAAAGCATACAAGCGGCTATTTATACCATTGATCATGTCGTTCAGACGCTCTTTAACATCTTCAAGTTGAATAGGTCTTATCCTACAAACCTTACCTAGTTCCATTTCTATGCAAGTTTTTCGCAGGGCAACATGTGCACGGTGCACGATAAATCGTGCATGCTAAATTGTCAAAATAGGAAAAACACCTGCTAGTTGGCCCCTTTTGTTGTTGTTGTTAATTAAACGGCAGAGTTATTTCGTTGTCATTTCTATTATATTCACCCTTTATTAGGTACTTAGTATTATTGGTTTTTATGCCTTAGACAATTTTTTCTAATTTTATTAGCCAATTATCGCCATATGCATTCGAACGCTTTTACACGTAGCTCGCCATAGAGATTAATTTTACTTAGAGGATAATTAGAAGTTGCATCCGTAATATAACGAAGCTAAACTGATCGTAGGTAGATATTTCAGTTGAACAAAACTTTGCTCAGTGGGTAGAAGTCGTCAAATGTCAAACGTAGTAAAACCTGGAGATTCGTATACCACTTATAAGGGGATGCTTTCCCTACCTTAAAAGAGCAAACGACTGAAGCATACTGACAAACGGAGATCCGAAATGCGCCCGTCTGCGGGACTTATTCTGCCCTACTTGAGTTTCCCCCAAGGCAACCTTGCCTTACCGGGATAGGTACCATACTCGCCTGAAGTTGCTCGTTTGGTCCTACGTATTTCTTTGCATCTCAGTATTTTTCTCGGCTATCCTTCTTTTTTGCTGCCAGAGATCCTAAATATATATATATATATGTATATATATATATATATATCTCATATATATATATATATATATCTCATATATATATATATATGTATATATATATATATATATATATATATATATATATATATCAGTTGTCATGAAGCGTATAATGAATGCATGCTCGAAGTCTCAAAGCCAGTTGTTCCATGCTCGGCAGGGTTATGGGACAGTCAGTATGAGCCGTCATTACGAAGCCAAGGGAAGTCTACCCTGTGCACTGTATTCCTAGACATTTTAGCTTGCTTGAACAGTATGAAACACTACCTCCAACATTTGTCACTCTAATTCTGCGACGCGCCTCGCAGCAACGCTTTTTCCGGTACACAAATATTCGCTTAAGGAAGGCATGCACGTGGCGGGAAAATTAATTCAGATCGTACACATTTCTATAATAAGCAGGTTGAATTTTCATCACTTAACTATTATACCTACTTGCGTCCCTGATTAATTGTACTTACGAACACAGTCATTGTGCAGTTAGTTGTAGTTCCGTCACAACATCGGTGGTAGCCTTGAAAATTCACAGAAATGACGACCCTTAGGCACTGGATGATGAATAATTTTGAGAATAGCAATTTATGCATCAACGCGAGACAGACGTTCTTTTGTCCCTTCTAACAGGGTAAATTTCAACTAAATGCCTCCGTTGGAAGCGATTATCCCTAGAAACCTATGCAGTGGACAGTACCTTGGATGATGGCAACAGGGGAAAAAACGTCGGACCAAATGTTATATGGGCAATGTTTAACCAGTTAAATGGCAGCTTTTAGATCGACTATTATCTACACGCACCGAAAACTCCGTACCGGGAATCTTAGTTTTGCTTTCGTTGTCACAAGTCAATCATGATCGAGTGGTACTTTTTGATCGAAGAAGTGATACTGTGTGGTATGTATCCGCATAGCTTAGAAGTGCTCAAATATATATTCAATACCGATATTCTATTATTCGGTAACGAAGATCATTTGTGGCATGTTGTGTGAAATTGTTGAAAATTATCGATGCCGTCATTTGTTTTCTAGTTATTGTATTTTTCACTGATATTCATCATTGTTTTTTTAACTGGAATTTCGAACAGTCACCCAATCTCGCAGTCGTTTCATCCGAGTATCTGCAAATAACGACCACTATACAAACTATTGAGCATACTAGATTTTAAGCTTACCTCACTGCTGTTATATGTCTGTAGCTTAACAGTATTCCGTGTGATAGTGGAGTCAAAGACCCGAAGCTGCGATCGTTCAGCAGCGAAACCTAAGAAAGAAAATTCATCTTCGTGATCTGCCCTGCTGAATCAAATCTGACCGTGTTTTTAGACTCTACATTACAGTCTGATGTCGTATTTGCGTAGCAATGGCATTCGCCATCGGGGTCAACGGATCCGAAAACCTATCAGGAAAAGATTGATCCGTAATCGAATGCGCGGCGGGCAGAGGCACGGCCCGCTTATGGCACAAACTGCGCGATCAATCAAACGTATCTTGGACTGGCATCAAGCGACCGCTGCGGCACTTTGCAGATTCAATAATGCGGCGCGAAAGGCGCAAGCATGGCGGGAGGAGATGGCGGAGCTTGCAATCAATAGCGCTGAACTACAACAAAAACGTAATAAGTTAGAGCGGTTTTCAAGGTTCAGCAGGTCCAGTGAAGATATCTATCGTGAGTTACGTGAGATTAACGAAGCACTTGCATATTGGCACGATCGATATTGCCGACTAAATTTCGATTACACCCTCTTCCAAGCTGCCCAGCCCAGAATGGTACGTAGACTGGTACGGCTATTGGTGTTAGATGCACCGGTACCGTTCTTCCAGCCAGATTTCTGGCTACTAGACCGGCTTTCAAGTTTAGAGCGTGAGCGTATAGTGCCATGGGAGAATGATCATCTCATCGTCTGGTATTTGCGAAATCAGGCTATGCGCTTTCCCACACGAGAAGATGTCATTGGGACTATAACGCAGCAGGTATATTAACAGACGGCCTGACATATCGAAGTTACGCACGCTGATCCGATGGGTGACGCGACATGTTTGTTTAGTACGCGCCACACATCGTTTCCTCACACCGAGTAAAGGGATAATAAATGCTATCTAACGGAGTAGTGGAAATTGCTTGTCCTTCTACTAGTTGCTTTTAGGTCCTAACGAGAGCTAACATGGCAGGGGTATACCTTTGGCGCACAATAGGTAAGTAAACCTTAGAACTTAGCATTAGCGAGAGAGCTTTCTAATACACTAAATTGAAACGAGTTTTCTGCATAAGGTATCTAGCGAACTACTAATTGGCCTGGGCTTGATGAGTCGAACTGCATCGTTAAAAAGCAATAAAGAATAGTAATTCACTTAAATTGCTAAAAAAAACTTGATAAACAAACTTCGAGCCTAGCTTCGAGTTCCGGCAGTATCACTTACTTGATCCCGTGGCCGTACTTTTCCAATGCTATTTAATATACATCACCGTGAATCCGCACGAATATCTACTACTCATACGCTGAACATTTCCGAAAAGGTTTTTTTACGTTGTGACTTCTGCATGGCTTTTAACACAACATTTTGTTGCGGAAACGATACATCCAGGAAAAGTGGTTTTTGCTTCAAGGATACATTAATGTAAACAGAGTAATTTTTATCTGAGGCATCTTAGCAACGATAGAGAATTTACGTAATGTAACACATGCAACAGTTGACAAGTTTTTCAAGCTATACGCAAACATCACAAAAAAATCGAATTTTTAGAAAAAAAAAAGTCAAAAATTAAATTTTTTCAGGAAAACAGTTTTTATTAAAAAGGTATCGACGTTGACGTATTGCTTACTTTCTTAGATTTTTAAGCGTCCTTACTCTTAAAAGTTGAGGTTATTTCAGTTAAACGTAGAGGAATAACTGTACATGGTAAAAGATAGCGAAAAGTTACGAAAACTACGACGATCATACAAACAATAATCCAATGGCACAAAACCCAAACTCGTAATATTATAGAATCATATATTTACTGAATATCATACATTGATTCTAAATGTTCAGATATTAATTTGTTCCGGGATCAACTATAATCCAAATCTAACTATTCCTTTATTGTCCTTAATCCCCCATAACATAGTGTGTAAGAGTTAGCGTGTTAATCGCGGACAGACTATTAAGCAAAGCATAGTAATTTATCAGTAGATTTTTTTCGAACTATACCTTCAAAACGCCCTTGCGAAGCTCTATGATAAAAACACAGCGAAGTTTTTTTTATCATAGAGCTTTCAGTAAACATGTAGTAAAAATGTTTGTCAACGGTTTGCTTTGTAGCATCTTTTGCTCTCCATTAATAAGTTTTACTGGTCATAAAGGTCGTATCTATCTTATACAGGCCGACTGCGCGATTTTTTGTAATATTATTATACGATATTTATAACAATGTTTTACGTTGCAGTTGTACGTCATTTTTATATGCAGCAATTCCTTCAACGCACTGGTTTGAAGTTGAACTGATGCCAAGGCAGTGCTTTACACAGTTGTTTTGGACTTACGAGTACACCATCGCCTGCAAAATAATTATGTTACAAGATGTAGAGTAGAACCGGCATTTGCGGCGAGCGATCAATTCGAACGTAGGAAAAAATTCAGACCATGCTACAGAGGAACACATTACACGTGGTCTGTATAAGGCTATATGCGGGGGGCGTTAATCATATATAGAATATACCAAACGGCGGAAATAGTTAATCAAACTGTAATGCCAACTTGGGACACAGTCATATTGCTATTAGAAAGTTTCACCCAGACAAAAAAAAACAAACACGGGTCGTATTGCGTTGAGCCCTATTTAATGTCGGTCATGTTACAGCCAAGCTGGTCTAGTTCTTGTAGCATTAAATTAAGCGGCTTTATATGATAGGAGCGCTAAGGTAGGAAAGGACTAAATCATAGTGCTTGCTTATAGCTTGAGATGGCTTTTCACGTTAATACATTGGTTCTGACATGGGTCTGAATTTGGTTGCATCGTGGCGGCTTTTTTTTTATATCGGTATATATGTGAAGACCGTTTTTCGTGTAGCCCTCTTATCTAGGCCCGGCATTAAGGTAAGTCGGCGTTTTTTGACCTTCAAGCCATCGTTTAACAGGCTCTTCGTTGACAGGTTTTCGTCCTGTAATCCATATCCACATCCATAATATCGATCCAAATTCGACAAAAAATATTCAGGTGATCGTACGACCAAACCAGCTGCCCAACTACCTATGCGTTCGTTATTGGATTCCTTTTTGATTTAGTGTGATAACGACATAAATTTGATACGTTGGTGTACCCAAAAGAGCTTCACAAATGTGCCCTTTAACCATTGCCACCTATAACGACTCGTGTTTAACTATTTCGTATTAAATAGGTTCTAGATATCTACCTACCCAATTTGTCTATTTGTTGGTCTTTCCGGTCAAAAGGGTAAAATACGAATTTTGATACTTTCAGTAATTTTTCCTGATTTTTCCATAAAGCCTGTTTACAGTATTGTCAAAACAAAAATATCGCTATATTAAAATGCACCAACGTGCGTTTTTGCCTATAATGACTACGACGGAACCCGATGTCTCTGTATGTTGTCAGTCTCAAATGCGTTTGTGTGCTTAGTTTATTCATGAAAACGACAGAAAGCCGAGTTCTGCTGCCTTCAGTACGTCGATGTAGCAAAAAAAACCAATGAGAATACGCCTAAATCTATTATTATTACTATTCAATATCCTAGACCTGCCATTTAACCGGTATCATAACGATGGATATACAATATCTGTTAACTTTCACTTTTGAATAGCTTCATACATGTAGTTACCTATTTCTTGCACGTGATCCGAACGAGACATATACAAAGGACGCTATCCAGAAATATTTATCCTATTATCTGTTTCGATTTAAACGTATTAGGGTTGAACCTGGGTTATAAGCCTAAACCTGTTGCAATCGTTCTATTCGCCTGTTAGTTGCTGTATTCATCATTGGCGTCTCATTCACATTCTGTTCCGTTTTATCCGAAGACCCTCTAACAGATGTCATGTCTCCCAATTTGCGAATCACTACTTCTCCCACTGCAGTTAAGCTATCATTATTTACCGCTGATCCGCCATCTGCCAAAATGCTATTTTGTACCCACTGTCTTCTACTAAGCTTGATTTTTGCCTATATTTCATGTGGACAAAGGGTCGTTTGAGCAACTTCAAAACAATGATCTTTTTCGAAAAGACAACCTTACCCTAAAAGACACACCATATCCGGCTCCAAGGTCTGCCTTGGACTATGTCGAAAACCTCTCTCCTATTGTAAAGCGCTCAGAATCACAATCTTACCAGGTACCAAGGCAAATGTCCTGTTATTTCCCGCACATTTTCGTACATCACGTTTTTATCGTAATGCTTTCTTGTTAACCCAATCCCAGCAACAAATAGGTTTGCAACGAAAACGTGCGTCGTTATCGAGAATTTTACGAATTTCCAACCATTTATATAAGTACATGATACATGCTTATAAATGCAATGTATAACTATCATAAGTTGCCTTAGCTCAATAAATTCTATTTTACACAACTAGTTTCCATGGAGAAGTGCGGTTTCACTATCGTCCTGTCCCACAGGACGCTCGGAAAATGAGCATATATATCCCTCATTCAGTGTTCTGTAAATAAGAAGAACGTCACTGGCGGTTCATCAAGAGGTAACAATTAGAGGTTAGTAAATAGGATGGATACGGTGGACGTCAAAGATTACTATTTCAGTTTATAATACCGTCTCGGACTGCTCTCTTTCGATGCGTGATATCGTCCTGCTGTGGGACAACGCTTTTCCTTGTTAGGAGGAAACTGGGTATTCTTCCAAACAACGCAATTACTACTCGTGCCTTTCTAGAGCAATTACCGTGAACGTGAAGCGAAACGGTAGCGTTGTC